ATCTGGGCGCACTTCTTCCCGCTGGACAATGTTGAAATTTTTTGAGCTGTCGTATCTCTGTGTTCTTTTCCACGGGCTGAAAAGAATTGAATAGCGAAAAAAGTTTCGTCTGATGCAACTCTTTCCCCGGCCCATTTAATGAGTTTCGCTGACTGTGTCTGTTTAAGTAACCCCGTCTGTCCACTTGGGAAGCATCTGTGATGTTTTGGTCCTTTTCAGCAATTGTTGCCGCACCGGCTCTTTTGAAGTTGAATTTTACAAGTATAACAGCAACTAGAGCACTGGGCATCGTTATTACCGTTCTTCACGTTGCTGTTGCATGGACAGAGCATCATGACTACTGGATCGGAATTCTGAGGTCTGATTTTCGTCCTGTTATTTGAAAGGGGGAATAAAATCCCGCTGTATGGCACTGCTGTCTGTTTCGTGTGCAGTCGGCGAAGGTCTTCTATTAGTGCATGGTATTCGCGGTATAAAAAGCAATCAGTGAAGTGATTTCCGGGCACACCTACTACAAATGGCCGAGTTGGGAAAGTTATTGGGACAAAGGAGAGGGGGGAGAGAAGGGAAGGAAAGCGAAAGTGGGATAGCTGAGGGAAGAAAATGAGAAAAAGCAGCAGGGAGAATTGGTGTTTGCTATTTTTCGCCAAGACTGGGAGCTCCGTAGTGGTATTCCAAGCCGTCGTAGTTTTCCTTCTGTGATCAAAAATTTCTTCACTGGGTTTGTTGTTTCAAAGCTGCATCGCTGAAATACGTTCTTATCAGTGTCTTTAAGCAAGGGCCAGTAGTGGCGCAACTGCGGGGCACAGTGGGCTTTCGATGTTCTGCTGATTCGATGCATCCTTCGCGTCTTTACTCTTGTCAGCAGTTGGTTATCGTGGATAATGTGCGAACATTATGGATGAGGGTATGTCCCCTCCTATGCTCGAGTACAAATGTGATAATCTGTCCAGAAAATGCTGACTGTCGTTGCGAGTCTGTCAAATGAGTGTCATTTTCCACCGCTGCATGAGAAACAGCTCAAGACGGGAATTTTTCATGGTGCTTATCCCAGTGATTAATGCTTTCTTCATTTTCGAGTAAACGCTTTTTTTCAGCACCTTCTCTAGAGAATACGTGGCCGAAGCGGAGCTTTTCTTACAGAACGGTTTCAAAATAGCCGCAGCGCTTTTGGACAAATGTATTGGTTTATATGAGTTAGGAAATCGAGTTGACTTTTCATCGAATACTAGGTACGTATCAACTATATGTGAAGAACAGCTCGGGCTATCAGTTTGGATATCCCCCGTTAGTGATGTTACTAGGGTATATAGTCACTCTTTTTGAGAAACAATTGGTGATGAAGCGGTGCTGGAATGTTGAACTTTAAATTATATTTAGTTTATTTCACAGACAAGCACCCAAATCATTCTTGTTTTTTCAGGAGAGGTTTTTTACAACTGTCAGAGGACGAGATTTGGAGGCTGTTTGAGTTTTGCTTTTGCATTTTATCATAAATGTTAGCAAGTAGGTTCATTCCACTGACCCTAAAATCTGGATGGCGGAAGTAATGCTAAGCTTTGTTATGGGAAAACTTCATTGCACTAGCGTACTTCATTTTCTGTTGCTGATCACACTTTTGTTATTTTTAGCGGATGCGGCGCACTAATCAGTATCGTAGAAAGGTGTCGTAACTTCAAGTCCGAAGCACGTAAAGTT